TTTTGTTTCCAAAAGTGAGGTACAGTGCTGGGTGTTTAATTTGGTATGTTACTTGTTCTGTTGTGTAAATAACTGCAGTGCCCTCCCTGTGCCTGTGTATTGCAGGGGCAGGTGAGCGCTGGTTATAAAGGTGGTGATAATTAGGAATAAGCTGTTTAAGCTTGGATAAATGTTTAGAAATCATTGCTTAGATATTGCTGTGTAAAATGCTCGCTTGCGGTGAGAGACTTCTCTAGGGTCAAGCTGTTCAGGTATAAGCAATTTATTATAAGGGTAAAGAGAGGGGAGACCTTTGTCCACCACCAGCCTCGGCGTCCACATGGTCCAGGGGAGGGGAGAGAGCAGGGAGAGCAGGGGAGGAGAGGTTGGAAAAGGGGAGCGAGGGAGTAAGAGCAACAGAGGGAGAGCGGGGGAAACCAGGGAGGCTTAGGAGAGGGGGGAGACAAGAAAGGGGTAAGAGGGGAAAAACCAAGAGGGTAAGAGTAAGAGAGGGAAAGAGTGGAAGAGGTAAGAGAGGGGGAGAGGGGAGCTGAGAGAGGAGTAAAGGGGTAAGAGAGAAGAGCCAAGAGGTAAGAGAGGGGTTAAGAGGTAAGAGAGGGGTTAAGAGAGAGAGGTTTAAGAGTGAAAAGCTAAGAGAGCAATGTTCTTGTCACAATCCAATGTATCTTTTTCTATAGTGAATATTCTAATTCCCAGTATCCAATCACTATGAGATACACCCACTAAAGATTTTACATACAGTGTTGCATTTGAGGCTCTACAAGCTTTACAAGTTCTTCCCTTGCTTCTTGGCCTTTGGGCTTTCTGTCAGCAGAAGGGCATTGTTTTATCAGCAGGGATTTTCCTTTAGCTGGCTAGGCTATTGTTCTCTGGTCATATAGTAACCAGTACTCTGTATCTTATGACTCAAAGCAGGCTTTCATTTCTATTCAATTCTAGCCTTCTTTTTTCAGAATGTTCTGCCAAACAACCACATTCATAAGGTTTCCCTGTTTCACCCTCCCCAACAGGCAGCGAGTTGTGCTGCGCTCTGATAATTCCATACTCAACCTGTTCCTCATTTCTTAAAGGTTCACTTCAGCCTTGAATCAGCAGGTCCCTAGGTCCTGCTTCCACAGGATCATCTGGGCCCAGCACCAGAGAAAAGGACTCGTGCCACTCCCGGTCTTCGTTGGACATGATCTCCACCTTAAACATGATGTGGGCCACACCTGACAACAGTTCAGAGACACGGGGCTTACTGTGCGAGTCAGAGCCTCAGCCACCACGTCACCAGCTCAGCTCCCTTCGGCTCTGCTGGCACCAAGGGCAGAGTTTGCAGGGAGGGGAAGAAGCAAAGATGTGACTGAGAACATTCAGTCAGCATCTCAGTCCCCACTGCCCCGAGAGGAGGCACCTCCCTGTGAGCTCCCAAGGCCCTCTCCCATCCCTTCTCCTCCCCGACCTTCTTCCCTCCCTCCTGCACCACGAAGAGGGGGCTGGTGCCGTCGGAGACGGTGAGGGTGAAGCGGTCCCTGAGCGCGCTGCCGCCGCGGTGGCTGTAGCTGCCGCGCTTCTGGTAGATGTCATCCGTGGTGAAGGTGGTGGCCTGCAGAGGACGCTGCCCGTGGCCGCTGCGCTCCATCAGCCCGTGCCGGGGCGGCTGCACCGCCCCGAACGTCAGGGACTCCACCTGTGCCCGGACATGGAGGGGCAAAGCTGGGGACACGACCTCAGGACACTGCCCTTCCAGCTCAGGAGGCTGGACAGGGATTCTGGCCAGGCAGCTCCCCTGTGTTGGTGTTCCCAACACAAGGGTTAGCACAGAACATTCCTGGTTCCCCCTGAGCCCCGCCCTGTCCTTGTCCCTCTCCCAAGGGATTTTGTTTTGTAGGTGTCTCCCTATAAAACAAGGCACATCCCACCGAATTCCTGCTTCAGCTGATCTGAGACAGCTCCCACCCACCCCTGTGCCTGCTCCACGAACACTAGAGCAGCCCCCAGTCCTGCAGCCATTCCGGGCAGTGTGTCCCTTGCTACTTCTGCCAGGGCAAAAACCTTTGGGGCAGGATTTTGGCTCAGGCAGCCAGATCTCTTGCTGCAGGGGAAACAGCAGTGAGATAGAGCCAATGTTAGACAGCTCAGCCTCTGGCCAGACCCAGGAAGAAGAGGAAGTGCCATTTCCATCCATGCTGAGCGTAAATTCAGTGTTAAGTCTTTAAACACAAGCCCAGGTGTGCAGCACAAGAGGGGAGCAAGGAGGCTGGGGGTGGTCCTGCCTTACCTCTGTGTCAGCATCTGTCGCTTTGAGCTCAAACTCCATGATGGTTTTTCTCACCCCTTCCTGAACTGTCATCCCAAAGATTTGCACGATGGGCAAGGAGTCATCCACGGGGTTTATGGTGATGTCAAATGTCTGGCTCACCTGGGACAGGAAGAAAAGCTTCCCTTGCCGAATTCAGCCTTCCAAGAGTGTGACTTCACCGCAAGAGCACAGCGATCCCCAGTTTGGGTCTCTTCATTTCAGCCTTGTCTGAGCTGCTAAGCCCAGATCACTTCTTTATCCCTCCCCACTCATTAATTCTCCCTCTTTCTGTGATATTTATGGACATCCACTTTCCCTCCCTCTCTCACTCAGTTTTTCCCCTCTCCCTCTATGTGCAGCTAGACTTCTTCTCTTTCAGAAAACAGGAAAAAGGCATTTCTCCAGGGGCTGGATGTCGTCAGTACGCTGTCAGTGCACTGAATCAAAGCTGAGCTCCAGGAACAGTTGGCAAGCAGCTGAAAACCAGGCACTCAGCTCTTGGTGAGCCCACAGGGCAGGTGTTCCCTGTTCCTGTTCCCTGCACAGGCCTTGCTGCCTTCCTGACCTGAGGGATGTGGGAAATCCCACAGCAGGTGAAGGAGGAACAGCCACATCTGCCCACTCAGGCAAAAGTCA